GCCGATAAATAGACCTTAGTTTGGCGTTTAACAAATTTGCAAGCACTGTTCTTGATCGCTATCGGGATCGATGATGAATGAGAGGTTGGGTGGGTGACTATTTGGCGTAATCTACTAGCACTGTGATTGGAAAGATTTTCCTAAAAATCGCACTGTGCTTCAGTTTGCAGAAAAGCGGTTGTTGCGGTGAAATTTGACTCTTGCTACCAATGGTTAAGAGCTCAGATGATCTCAGTGAAGGCACCAAAAGGTAAAGCGCAAGAAAGTACTTCTTTATACGAACAGAACACCCACAGGCGGAGGTAGTCAACTAGTAAAGACATGGTTCCAAAGTGAACAGTTGCTGTCGTAAAATATGTAGCTTAGGCGTTTATAACCCACATCAAGGCGCTGCGCATTAGTGAGGTTAGGGTTGTCTCAATTTATTTTTCAAGGCGGAGAGGCAAAATCTATGCTCCACTGCTCCCGATTGATATCTAGTTTACAAGAAGACCCTGGGAGTAGGACATCTGCGTTGGTCCGGAGTCCGGTCTCCTAATGCGGCCTCAGAATGGGGAAAAATGAAGCTGAAACCCACGAAAGTGCTATCAAGTCACGCCCACCCTATCAAGTTCTGCCCACCGAGGTACCGAAAGTCGTCTGAGCGTTCAAGATCGGGCTTCCAAAAATCAACTATTTCCGGGTTTTGCCTATTTTGCACTTCATGTCTGTAATCAGGCCATGGAAAGGGTCCAGACGAAGATTTGGGTGGATGCAACCTTGAAGTAGTGGTGATATAATAGTTGAGAGCAATGAAGATACCTGTATTACCGTGACAATGATGAAGGAAATTTTTGAAGATAGCAGGATGAAAGACGACAGTCAAGATGAATCGAGATCAGAAAACACTTGAGCTGTGCAAAAAATGGACATAGCTCCAAGAAGATCGCTTACCGATTAAATCTAGACGAACTATCTAAAAATACTGTGAAACTCATAAATAATACTATACTTCGGAAAAGAATTCTAGTCTAGAGAATCACTTTGATGGAATTTTCACTTTTTGAACGAAAAGCCATGGGAAATCAAAAACTTCCCAATTTGAACCCAATTATGACATATTTTACCTGAATAAAATTACGATTTTGTTCATAGCTAATTGGAGTGAGTTCTCACGGTCCGATTTTTTAACCTTTCAGCTACTCAATTTGATAAGGATTCAAAAGCTAAGTGTGTGGACATAGGCAACATCATCTCTCTAGAATGCATGCCTCATAAAAGCAGTTAGCGTATTAATGACTGAGGGCGTTTAATGTGTGTTGATCAATAATGCATTACGAACATATTTGAAAGAAAGACAGAAGCTTGTAAGCTAAGCCTCCAAAGGCTCACCAAAGAACCAGAATATTATTATTTATTACATAGGCGCACCTATGCGAATGACACAACGAACGAAACAAACAACAAATCGATATTTGTCGATATTCGAATATTTGCCATTTGGGGGCCTTAAATAGAAAAAAGCTGTGGAGATAACCCACTACCCGAGCAGATCCTTGATTTTATCCGTTACTTTTGCAGTGTTCGTAATCAGGGCTCAGCACGAATCGATTTCTAGGGTTTCTAAAAACGAAGTCTTCCCTGACTTTCGAAAGTTTTACGAAGTCCCATTTGACCTACCTGCTTAGGAGAAGATGAAAACAACAAAGATTTACTAGTCCTAATAAAAAACGTAAGATAAGAGTGAAAATCCAAATTGGAGCTGATTACTACCCATGCACAAGAGTTTGACATGGAGCGCGATGTTCAACAAAGCGATTTATGAAGAATTAAAGGCAAAAACAAAGGAAAGGCAGGGATATGACAATGTCTTCATTCTCAGGGATAGATTTTTGACCGGAGAATCCGTCCATGACAGAAAAATCGAAACTTATGTAAAGTGACGGAAATATATGCTCCAGACGATCTCAGATCGTCTGGTGACCGTCTGGAGATGGACTAATTTTGGAAAAGGTAGTACTTCACATAAATTTCCAAATCTTTTTGCATAATTCTTTTGCAAGTAATTTTCGATGTATACAGTTCGAATTTGGTGTCATATGCTTCTGTGTGCGCTGTAAACGAGCAATTTGTTTATTTTAGCCCTGCTTTCCAATCGCGCGCACTTTTCGCCATACACGATTGAGCATGTCAATCGTGCGATAACGTGTCCGAAAAGCTTGTGTTCGACTAAAGGGACTTGTTCTTGGTGCATGGCCCCGATTCGTCAAAAACGATATCTCCTTTGCTTTTTGCTTCAAAACGAAGTCCAGCCTGCTTCCAGACGACCTGTGCCGGGCCCTGTTCGTAATGAAAGAGCTCGATAAATGAAAGAGCCAAAAAAATCGTCAAGAGAGGGGAAGAAGGTAGCCTTACAAAGTCTATTAGAATGTTCGTCCACAGCATCCTTGCGTCAATTCTTGCCGACAATGAATTCCGGAAAAAAGCACCAAAATCTTCGAAACTCAAAGGAAGACAAATAGATGTTCATTAGAATTATGGCTCAAGAAAATCCGAGTACGATGTCGCTATCAAGATTCCCATTAAAAGGTTAACTGATCAAGTGCGATCTGATCTTGAGTCATTTAGATCTGTATCGTCTACAATGCGTCAAGCACATGCCATTAATGCGAAATCAGATAGCTTTACTGACCCTTCATACTTCGCCGAAAAAGGCCCAAAAGCGCACAAAAAAGCCCAAAAATCCCAAAAGCGCCAGAAAAATCCGGAACGCCCCCCGCAAGTTTTGGCGCTGGGGCATGTGTATTGCGTTCGCAAGGCGATCCTTTCACTTGATTATTCCTTAAACCTAATTGTTCTAGTATCCAATCCGGAACTAATCCTTCACTGTGCTAAAAGTCGCACTCGTGAAGTGGGCGTTCTGGCCCTATCGGGCTTTTTTGGGCTTCTCCCACCATTTTTGGGCTTTTTCGGGCTTTTCGGGCTTTTTTGCCCTTTTCGGGCACTTTTGGGCTTTTATCGGCGAAGTATGACTGGTCCCTCAGAGTTATTGGGTGGGTCCTGCGAACAAAAACAGTAGACAAATCATCAAGCACGGTAGCGGACGCTTCTGTAGATAACGGAAGTAAAGCTCGAAACAGGGCCCGACACAGATCGTATGGAACCGGGCTGGACTTCGTTTTTGGGACGAAAAAGCAAAACAAAGAGGATATTGATTTGTGGCCAAAAATTGCGACGTTTTTTTTACATCATGCCGAGCCCTGCCTCACATTCAGGGAATAGCCCGCGATTATACAGAGTGTCAAAAAAGCGTGCCTACTGTTTGATTGCAAATAATTCTTTTGTTGAGGTCTTTGGAGAAGCTTTACATATTAAACTGTAAAGCTGGCTTCGAGCTAGCATTACAATATAAAGCGAATTACCGATCACTCATTACTACTGTAGGATTACAGTGAAAACTCTGAATTCGTTTTTAGCGCTTCATAGCTATAAAGCGCTTGAAAAGACCATTCCAAACTGTAAAAGAGCTCTCACTAAGGTTTTCAAAAACACATCCTTATGAAGATATATCAACTGGACCAACATCTCTGAAAACCTTATTATGGACTCTTTCAGATTTGGAAAGCTTTTTGCAAGCGTTTTCCCGCAGTAAAGGGCTGAAACGAATCAAGTTTCCACCGTAAACCTATAGTAAGAATGAGTGATCGGTAATTCATTTTATACTGTAAATCTAAGTTGAAGCCAGCTCTACAATGTTACCTAAAGCTTTTCCAAAAACCTAATAACAAAAGGGTTATTTAACAATTGAGCAGTAGGCACATTTTTGGGACACCCTGTAAATTTGCCGATTATGCTAATACAGTAAGCTTGAGAAATTAGCCACCTCGCGAGTATCAATGCCAAGAGCAGCCCATTGGAACGTAATTGTTGTAAATGACAACATATTGGTACGAATTCGAGCCTACCGGGTATACTCCCAGCCTCTCTCCCGGACTACCTGGAGTCACAGGGGCATGCAAATGACATGTGTTGTTGAAGAGGACTACTTTCGCCAATTCAATGAGACTTACTAAAAACAGCTTAAAAATTTTTTTCTATACTCAGTGAATAAATAAAAATTCAACTGAATATATCTGCCCCTCAGCAAAATTTTTTACCAATCTTGTACTATCAAAGCACCATAAGCGATTTCTCAGCGATTGTCGCTTATCCAAGATTACCCATAAATCTAAATAATACATATTTCTGACTACTAGAGGTTTTTATGTCACTTTTCATGATTAAGTAAAACTTCACCTATCAATTCACAGACGTAAGTGCGTTTTTATTAATTAATTTATCGATTATTGTTTATTAATTGACATATAGACATTTGAAACATACTTGCCTCTATTTACACTATTACAATATGTACATGAGACTATCCTGAGGGAATAAAAATATCCATTCTTCAAAAGAAAAATTCATTTAGAAACTAACTGGAATGATCTTCTAGGAAAGCAATATCTTGAAGAAATTTTTGCTGAGATCAAAACTTTTTCAAACTTAGCCGATCGGCGAGTTGAAAGGCACATTTTTGCGAAGTAGTGTGAACTTTGATAATCACAAAGCAATGAGCAGTTAATACAAAATACTAGTGTGAGGTGGAGGATTTGTTATGGAACAAGACAATAACAATATTTAGACCACTTGCAAAAACTAACTTATTTATATCATGCGCAGCATCAAATAGAGTGCCGACGGTCCTCACTCTTCGAGTACTGTAGAAAAAAAAATGAGTTCACGTCCTATCAGTTGTACTTGATCCAGAAAGTAGAACTGCTCGGAAGGTCCAGATCCACCACTCGACTCTAAAATGAGAGGAAAATACACTAGACGGCAGTTAATCGACAAAAAATGCCTTTCCGAGTCTATTCATTATTTCCTCACTCAAATGACGCGTAAATATTCTCTAATTGCTCTACGCTGGTTTTTTACGGAGTAAATATGTCACGACTTTAAAACATAAAATCAGAATTCTGCTCTAAGGCTAATGAAGGTAACTGAAATTATGAAAGCAACAACATGACGATGAATTTAAGGAGAGATAGGAGAATCGGAGAATCCAGACTGAAGGAAACTAGTTTATACGGCTCTTCTACAATATTGAGTAAAGGGAGCTTACTGGGTTGTTAACTTGCAATGTTCACAGAATGGCAAAGACTTCATGAGTTCTCGTCAGTTTGCATCAGGGGACTTCCTCTTCAGAAACCTTTTCTTCCCCTGGTAAAAGCGCATTGTGAGCATTCGCATGCTCATCTTGGTTTGGTGTTTCCAGGTTCCACATTCAGACTGGCCCTCACCCATGACATCGCTCTAGTCGTGGTTTTTTCCTCAACAGCTTGTCTTGCACCCGAACCTGTAAAGAGTGACAATGGTCAGAATCCATCTGAAGTGGGTAAGCGAACAACGTACCCATGGCAGGCCCTAGCGTGTAAACTCCATCTGATCATCAACAATTGCCAGGCCCCTGCTCCGACTCTATCGAAAAATTTGGAGAAATCTGGTGGTAAGCTGCTTCTGCGGTATCGTACATCCAGTTCGGAAGTTTGAAATGATGACCGACGACCGTGTGCCTATAGATGAAGCCGAATCGAGCGGTGACGTCGTTGTGGCTTCGGATTTCGACGAAGAAGACAGCCAGTAGGTGAGCGGACGCGTCTGTTCCCATGGTGCATCTCTGGAAGAAAGGCATATCTGAGGCCAAGAATGCCCAGATTTTTTTGAGCTTTTCGATTTTGAAAATTAGAAAGGAACTTACCGAACTGGTATCTTTACTAGATTTGACCGAGAACGTGGCTGAGAGTTTGGTTTTGAAGAAATATGGCAACTAGTCCTAAAGAACAAACTGGTCATACTGCTACTTATCACCTGATAACCAGCAATACCCCTCGTTAAGTGAACAGACCTTTTCAGAAGGAGTAAAGCGATCAGTACACAACCGATGCCAATTGTTGACATGATGGCAATCCCTGCCAAGACCAGCATGGATAGAGGCATGATGGTGTCTCCTAACAACCGCATAAATACCGAAGCCGGATTCGCTGACGGAATATTTTCGGGCAGCTGTAAAATTCAAATTTCAATGATGTTTTGTGACCATATCGTAATGACACAGTAGGTGAGAGTTCTCACAGCAGGGAACTCGCGATTAGCACCAGGGAGGCATACTACCTAAGTTGTTCAGTCATTCGTGTAAAACATCGGAAGGTCAATGTCATCTCTGCAGGTGCGAGCTCTGAGGTTTCCTAAGCCTATAGACAAAAAGTCATCACTACGATACTTAATAGCGATTCAATTTGCTAGAAAAGCAAGTCCTGAATTTGTAAAAAAAACGCGGGGCGGAAAATAATATTATATAGGGCGAAAAGGCAAGACCATTATCAAGGAATGACAAATTGGTAGCATTTAGTCGCTGACATTGCCGCACATTCAAGGGTTTTCAAAGTTGTTCTTTAAAGATTCCAACGAAGTTTTGTAGCTTTGGATGACACATCATACTGATACTCGTCAAAAACCTAACATTTTTGATTTTTAAGAATTACTTTCTTATATATGGAAAGCAGAAAGCGCTTAAGATTTGTAGAAAGTCATAAAAAATCAAATCTCAACCTTCTGCTCAACTACAGCCACTTCTGATGGATCAGGGCACCATAGACATCTCTCTGTGTGCTTTTGGATAGCCATGGTGACATTGAAGCACTTGGCTCGAATCTCAACCAGCTTTTTGCCCAACTCGTCTTCTGGCATTGCAATGTTAGTCATATGCTGGTGACGTCGATTCCTCCCCTGCAACTGTTGGTCATCACATTCAAATGCTACCAGCGAAAAACATTGCGCAAATGCAGCTGTCCTTCCATAAGGAGGGACAAGGAAAGTCTAGCTGTGATTTATGACAATGTAGTGACAGCTTACGGATGCACTGTCTTCGAAAACGCGGATCGAGGCAGTCTGATCGCAGATTCGTGGGAAGCCATAGGTCGGATCGGTTCCAACCACTTGGCATGAGAGTACCAAATCTGTTGGGTTGCCTTTCGTCCAATGGGAAACAAATGGACGCGAAGACTCCTGGAATTATGATTGAGATAAAGATAGTGAATGCCTTTCGGTAGAGTATCGAAGGCTAGTAAGGCAAACACATTCTGTGTTTATAAGAATTTAGTAAATTTGTTAACTTACAGTTGTGCGAGCAGTTTCAAAAAAAATATTATTCCTACTCTTGATCATGCAAATGACAAATCGAGCTTAGTTTACGTAGTGGTACATACATAGAAGCGCCCTAATAACAGTTGCTAACGCGCGCTACGGTATCTCTAGTCTTTGACCGCAAAATGTCCTCACAGGTGTTACCGTAATACACTGGTAATAAAGTCGGCATACAAAAGGTAGACAAGTCCATAAAATTCAAATGCGGCAGAAAAATGCTGGCGAATGCAGTGCGGAACATCGTTAATCACAATTAGACGACGCCATTATGCACGGTAATTGACAGAGATTGTGGCGGATGGATCAAAAGGGCGCAATGATTGAGAGCTGTTCGCTAAGAAGAGGAAAAGGAAATGATTTGGTCACCTGCACAAAATCCTCGGAAACTGGCCAGCTGATAGAGATCTTTTCCTCAAATGGGAGCATATCTTTGAGGATCTGAAAATCATCTGCTTTAACAGCGAAAATTAAATTTATATGAATCTAAGTTTTCTCAAAATTACCTTGAATCTTGGTTTAGAGCAACCAGCGGTAGTTAAGCATCCCTCCCTCCAATCTACTCGCAACAGCTCGGCGGTCATCCAAAATGATTCCGCCAGAATTACAGGTAACAAAGCCAAAATTAGCAACATCTGAAATGCATCCACTTTTGTAACCACTTACAATATTCGATGTTTATTGAGAGGTGAACAGTGAATAGACAACATTTAATAGTTCAAGGATGCACCCTACAAAAGAACAGAATTGAGTGGGCCCTCCCATTTTCCGCATCTCCTCCCACATAATTATAGATGCGCCCAGTGGGAGAAAAGCCAATCCGATTCATCATTCCAAATCGGAAGAGCAGCGTTACTAATGAATCCACTGTAGATAAGGAACAATATGGATTACAAGCGGAGAAATGAATGATTGAGATTTGATTTTGAGGAGATATCTAGCTACATTTTGGTCAGATTACAATCTCAGATCAACTAAAACTGCGCTGAAAATTTCAAAAGTTCACTATTAATATCGTGAGTACATCCTATTCTCTGATGCAGTATGTTGAAAAAAAAATTGATTCACGACAAGAATATTGCTGAATTCTGTTTCCTTCCTTTGAGCGAAGTACCAAGAAGAATTTAATTGAGCCAATCATAAGGCATGATAAGTACTTGTTGATGCGTATACTAAATGATTTTTACTGTGTAGCGCTTCGAAAGACCGCCATGAGATATATGATTCAGTTCCGAGACTACTAAACAGGCTCAAACTGTAGCAAAAAGATCGTATAAAAATTGGGCTCAACAATATCGGAGTAGCATCCAAGCAATTCTACGCCCCCCAACTGATACCTTGTCTATAAGAAGGCCCCAGAAGTAGGACACTTGCGCCGGTCCGGCGCTCTTATATGGCCTATGGATAAAAATGGACTTGAAATTCGCGAACCGTAAATCGTGTTTCAGGGGGTTTTTCACATTTTGCAATTCATATCTGTAATCAGGACCACGGAAAGGTCACGGCAAAAACATGGAAGACAAAGATTGGGAATGCTGCTTTTGATATTCAAGGATGACATCGCTATCAAAATCCCAATCTAGAGTACGCTAACTGTCAACACCTGAGATCTAATCTTGTGTCACCTAGATGTGTATCGCCTACATTGCGTCAAGCACATGCTACAGGTGTGAAATCAGATAACTTTGGAGTTTTCGAGCTACAAGAAGCTCCGACGCCAATTATTGAGACCTATAAACAGCATCAGTAAACAAAATGACTAATAAGGTAAATAAGGTAGCGCACACGCCCGATTAATAAAGGAAATGAGGGAATACAAACAAGACAGCCCCAGAAAGATGCCACTGGAAGGTGGTCCTTGTAATCTAACAGTTCTCCGATGTAGCGGTACAAGGATCCTGAGAAAATTGCCACCTCACAGATGTAATTGTTGGGAATGACAACATATTGGTACGAGTTCGCGCCTGCAGGATATACTCCCAGTCTCTCACCCACCCACGTGTAGTCACAGAGGACATGTAAACGACATGGGTTGTAATTCGTTTGGAATGATTTAAATGGAAGAAACTGTGGATAATCTACTAGGTGATGATTAGGTGAATTATTCTTACATCAATGAATCTAATGCCTGAATTTCCTTTAGTTTCCTTTTTTAACATTAAAATGCGTATTATTTGCAGAAAGCATCAAAAAGATAGCAATTTATTTTAGCCCGACCAAAGAACATTGCTTTCCTGAGCGCCTTTTGTGAAGAATAAGAATACCGAATACACGAGCGCACGATCAAGATAGCAATAAACAAAGGGTCTAACAAAATTTTTTTTTCTTTACTATTTGCACTTCATTCCAGGACAAGGAGCTCTAGATTTGGTTTCGTTGCAAAGAAACATATTATTGGATGCACAACCACTCTTTCTCTTTCGAAAGAAATCAACTTACAAGGGTAGCCCTTTCAGTCGAAGTGGCCTTTCAAATTGACTCCTACAGCACTTTGTAGAGCAATCAACGATGATTCCCTGCTTTTTTTTTGCGACACAACTCTCCGAGAAGTTATGAGCGTTTGAATGTTCAAATTTGCCAAGCTTCAAAGAATAACAAGAAGCTCTGTAACAGCACTCATGCAAATTTCCACTGGCTGTGCCCCTTCTCTGTAGTGAGTATAATTACAAAATTGATAACCTACCTTTAGGTATTTTTATAGCGCATTTCGCTATTTTATGCCACTCAAAGCATGACAAATTTGGATATTTGAACGCTTATAACTTTTTCAGAGGGTTGTTCTGCAAAAAAGAGAGTAGATTTGGAATTACCGTTCCATGCTCTTCAAAGCGGTACAGGACATCTTAGGCTTCTTCGACTGAGAGGGACCTCCCTTGTTTAAATGACGTAGAAGCAGGGAAGCTTCAGCTGTGGGAATCAAAAAAAAATCATTTTTGAGTTTTTCAGAAAGCCAGCATGGCGTCAATGTATCGCTATCAGGTCTCGATAATTATAGCCATATGGCTCCTTTAAAACTGTGAACTACTATAGACAGATGTCAAGAAAGGATTGGAGAGACGGAAATCATCGACCCGTGCTGGAGACACACTTCTGCGTCAGTTACGCAAGAGACGACGAATGCCTGATGTCGATCTCGTAGCAAATGCGCGAAAGATATGAATCTACTCTAACAGCTACGCTACTTATAGTCAGGATGATCCCTGATGGAACTAATGAGAAGTGGCTTCAACTTTGTTGCCAAAGACGCTGGAGAAGATCGAGAAGTTAGGTAGCGAGATGGGGTGAGAAAATTGCCTTCGACGGACATGACATAGCAACTTCGAAAGAGCGAAAAGTTTCAAAAACCTTGTAGACTGTTATCTGAAAAATAAAGACCTTGAAAAGCTGATGAATAGAGCTTAGTTTCGCACCTAGAAAATTTGCAAGTATTGTTCTTGATCGCTGTCGGGTTCAGTGATGAATGAGAGATTGAGCGGGTGCTGACTATAATACCGCTCGTATTTTTTGAGAAGATGACGCACAGTCGTCCGACCCTTTTGACATCACCAGGTGGCCCAGTGGCGGTCGCAGGATTTCGGACCGGGGGGGGGGGGGGGAGCGCGGAAAAAATTTTTTCAAATGAAGGTGCGTGGCGTTAGCCACGCACTCCGAAAAAATTTCGGGGGTACTTCTCAAAGTTTTTGCGGGTTCCCGAAAAAAATTTTTTATAAGGCTAGTTTGAATTTTTAAATTTTAAAAATTATTTTAATTATTTACAAAAATAAACAAGTCGTTTGCACACTTTTATAACCCATACAGGTAAGTTTCAAAAATTTCGCGACCCATTCGCGAAATTTTTGAAAATTTTCGAAGGCGCACCCCCCCCCCCCCCGCTCCCCCCCTCGGACCGCCACTGGCGTGGCCATATCTCGCTTCAAAGTGGACGATTTCTTAATTCAAGGTACCATTCGACTCAGCTCAGCGCGGTGCAACTTCTTGTATATAAAAGTGCCTGTTTGGACAAAGTAGGAGGCCAGATTCCACGAATCGTTCCAGATTTTTGCTTACGGTAGGTTACTCAGTGTGCTTATTCATTGCATTCACTGCAACTTACCGTAAGCAAAAATCTGAAATGATCGTAGAGTCTGCCTCCTACATACAACACCGCTCACATTTTTTGAAAAATAGACGCGAAGGTATGGACATGTCCATACATCAGCGTCGCGTGGCCATATCTCGCTTCAGAGTGGACGAATTCTGAATCCAAAGTCACCATTCGATTCAGCTCGGCGCGGAGAACCTTCTGATATAGTGGAAGTGGGGGTACGATGTCTTCGATATTCCGTTTCAAGTTTTTTCAATTTGTTCTGCGGAGGTCCTTTCGCGAATATGTGAAGCAACGCCTACCCAACACAGAAAACTTTACTAAATACTATTCGATAATACTGTTCTTGTAGATTATTGTGCGCTACAAGGCTCAGACTTCTTTCCAAAGGAGATAGAAGCGTTGGTGAATTTTGAAAAAATCACCTTTTTCATATTTTACTCGCCATAACTTCCTTCGGAATAAGTATATTTTGAATCTGAAAAAAGCGCCTTGCTCAGCTCATCAAGGCGAATCTTCTCATATACAGCATGCCCTTTATATTTCGATTTCAGTATTCTTGAATCTTTCTGAGGACGTCTTTTCACGAAGGTGTAAAGCAGCGAGCATTGTCCCGAGTACATTCCAGCAAGGATCTTTCGATAGCATTTTTTCTGTAGATTATGATATGCTAAATAGTAGCCGCAGGCTTCTTTTCAAAGGGAATAGAACGGCTGGTGAACCGTGGAAAAATCTTGTCGTCCTAAATTCTACTCGCCATAGCCGCAGGATACGAAGCTAT